TCCAGATTTCATTCAATACCACTCAGAACCTATCAAGGACTGAAAACATCTCAATCTGAATGAGAAAACAATCAACAGATGCCAATATCAAGATGACACAACTATAAGTACTGTCTGACAAGGATTTTCAAGCAACCATCATAAAAATGGGCTGGGGATGTAGCTCAGTGGTACAATGCTTGCCTAGCATGCACAAGGCGCTGGATATAATCTTCAGCACAATAAACAAACAAATATTTCAATGAGCAATTACCAACACACTTGAGACAAATGATAAAACAAATTCTCAGAAAAGGAACAGAAGATATAAAGAACAAAACAAAGCTTTGTGCTGATGGCTCCTGCCTGTAATCCTACTGAGGCAGAGATCAGGAGGATCAGTGTTTGAGGCCAGCCCAGGCAAACAGTTCATAAGACCCTATGTCAAAAATACCTAACACACACACACATACACAAAGGGGCTAGTGGAGTGGCTCAAGCAGTACAGCACCTGCCTAGCAAGCATGAGGCCTTGAGTTCAAACCCCAGTACCACCAAAATAACAAAAGCTGGGGTTTGAACTTAGGGACTGGTCAACCTGCTGGGTAGGTGCTCAACCACTTGAGCCACACCCCAGCCCAACACAAAATAGAAACGTTAGAAGTGAAAAATAGAGTAACTTAGATGAAGAACCCAGAATGAAGAGAACAGAGGAAATAATCAGTAACCAGAAGACAAAACTACAGAAACTGCCCAGTATGAACATCAGCAACATGAGGATCAGGAAAGAATCAAACAAACAAACAAACAAAAAAGAGGACTCAGCCTCTCTACTCTAAAGATCCAAGTCATACCATTTTGGTCCTAATGAAGAGCAGAAAAAGGATAGGGCTGAAAAAAGGATTGAAAATTCTCCAAATTTGGTAAAAAGGCATAAGTCTATGGATTCATGAAGCCTAGTGGACCCTAAAAAGGATAAACCCAAAGAAATGCATTCCAAGACACATAACAGTCAAATGTGAAAACTAAAGACAGAAAAATATTGATAGTGCAGAGGGAGAAATACCTTACCCATAAGGAAAAACAAGCTGAATGACAGAAAGTTCCTCATCAGAAACCAAAGAATATTTTTTAAATGCTTAAAGAATGGTAACTCAAGAATTCTAGCTGGTGGAATAGTTAAGCTATACAGCACTTGCCTAGGAAGTGTGAAGCTCTGAGTTCAAACTCCAGTACCACCAAAAAGAAAAAAAAAAAATATTGGGAGGGCGGATAAAGGAGAATGATGAAGGGGGTGAATTAAACTATGATATACTGTAGGAACTTTGGTAAATGTCACAATATACCCCCAGGACAACAAGTAAAAAACGAATTCTCTATTCAACAAAAAATACTGTTTAGTAACAAAGGGAAATCAAGATATTCTCAAAGGAAAATTAAAATAATTTGTTGCCAGCTGACCTTTAGTGGAACAACTGAAGGCAATTCTCTAGGGCTTGGCCCATCCTGTAATCCTAGTTACTAGGAAGGTGGAGATTCAGGAGGATCGCAGTCCAGAGCCAGCCCAGGCAAACAGTTAAGTTAGTAGAGACCCCATCTCAACCAATAAAATGCTAGGTGCAGAGCTGGGAGTCTGGCTCAAGTGGTGGATATAATGGTAACACGCCTGTCTACCAAGTGAAAAACCTGGATTCAAACCCAAGTATGACAAAAAAGAAAAAAAAGCTGTATGTGGTGACCTGTGCCTGTCATCCTAAAGAGGATCATGGTCTAGGCTGCTCAGGGCATAAAAGCGAGACTCTATTAGAAAAGTAACTAAAGCAAAAAGAGCTGGTAACATGGGTCAAGTACTAAATAAAGTGCCTGCCTAGCAAGTGCCAGCCCGAGTTAAACCCTAGTTCTGCCAAAAAGAAAAGAAATCTTGGAACATCGATAAGAAAGAATAGAAAAGGTACAAATACAGATAACTACAATAGATTCTCTCTCGAGTTTTCTAAATTATATTTTAAGCAAAATTTATCACACTGCTTTACATGGTTCTCAATCATATTAGCAGGGGAAAGGATTATGTGCAGACCAAATAGACTGTGTTAAGTGAGACATAAGACTAAGGGTGTAGCTCAGTGGCACAGTGTAGACTTAGAATGTGCAAGGCCCTAGGTTTGATGCCCAGCACCACAAAAAGCAGTAACTAGAAAGTAAGGTATATATAGTATAATACTTTAGAGCAATCATTGACAAAAACTGTATACGGAGATACTCAAAAACACTACGAACAAATAAAAATTGCACTCTAAAACATTATTCAAGTAACCCATGAAGGCAGGAAAACAAAACACAGAAATAAAGAACAGAAAACAAAAACCAAAATGACAGACCTACATCTTAACATATGTATAATTACAAGTAATGAGAGCAGTCTAAAAACACCAATTAAGGGATTGAAAGAGAAAAAAATCACATGCTAAATGCTGTTTGTCTATAAGACACTCACTTTCAATATAATGATAAAAGTAGGTTGAAAGCAAAGAACAAAATATACCATACAAACATTAATCAAAAGAAAGCAAGAGGGGCTGGGTGTAAATCAATGGTAGAGTGTTTAGTGTGCATGAGATCCTGGGCTTGGTTCCCAACATAAAAAAAAAAGAAGAAAAAAAGGAAAGGAGAAAAGGAGGAAGGGAGGAAGGAAGATGTGTATGTACCAAACGACAGAAGTGCAAAGTACATGATGAAAAACTGATAGACTTGATGAGATATAGATAATTTCACAATTATGGTTGGAAATTTCAACATCACTCTAACAATTTGAAAAAAAGTCAACAAGGGTATGCTAAGAACTTGACAATAATATCAACTGATATAATTTTATCACTATTTACAGAATACTTCATACAACAACAGAATAAACATCCTTTTCAAGTCTCCACAGATCATATACCAAGATAAGACTACCATATTCTGGGGACCATAAACAAACCTCAACAAATTATTAAAATAATTACACATCTATTAAACAGGCTAAATAAAAATCAGAGACGATAGTGAATGATGGAAAGGATAAAGACAATCTAGCTCTCTCATACATTGCTGAGGAGAATGTAAAATGGTTAGCACTATTCTAGAAAAAACTGAAAACTTACAAGACCCAATAATCACACTACTTGGCATTTATCTCCAAGAAATGAAAATGAGCATTCACACAAACACCTGAATATAATTAGTCACAGCAGCTGGAAGCCATCAAGCTGTTCCCTCAATAGGTGAATAGTTATATAAACTATAGCTTATCCACACCATGAACACCACTCAGCAATAAAAGGAGTGAATTATTGTCTATCCACACCACTTGGATGAACATCAAGGAAATGATAGTGGAAAAAAAAAATCTCAAATGTCATGTACTGTAGGAATATATTTATATATAATTGTAGTTATAGAGATGCAGAAGAGATCAGTAGTTGCTGTGGGTTATGAATGGGGGATGGGATGAGAGTAATCATCAAGGGGTAGCAGAAGGAAGATCCCTGTGCTGACAGAACAGTTCTGTGTCTTGATTGTGGTTGCAGGGATACACTGACATTGTAACAAGGACAGTTGTTTAATTTTGATGCCATACTATAGTTATTTGAGATGAAAGCACTGGAGGAAAGTTGGTGAGGCTATATGAGGCCTCTCTATATTATCATTACAAGTTAGAAACACACACTATCTTAATAGTCTAAAAATAATTTATAGTTTTTTCTTTTAAATCCCTTTACTTCTTAAAGGTAATACGAACCACATCCTTCATCTTCTGGGCACTATCACTGGATGGGGTGGGAAAGGATAAGAACAACTAGCTCCTAAGTGGACCCAGGCCAACCAGGCCCTGCCTTTAGAAGCTGAACTGAGAGACCTGGCATCCACAAAGGGCTCTGCACTGAAGAAGAGTCGTTTAACAACAGGAACAAAATTATTCCTTGCCAAGTACAAGTCACTGGAAGCCATGAGGCAAACAGCAAACAGTTATCTATCTGTAAGAATGCCTACTGAGAGAATATTCTTTCTGTTTTAGTGGTGAATGGGTTTCTGCTTTTTGCAACTATCAGTCCTGACTATATATGTTTAAAAAAAGGAGATGAGGGCTAGGGGAGTGGCTCAAATGGTAGAGCATTGCCTACCTAACGCAAGGCCCTGAGTTCAAACCCCAGTACCTACCAAAAAAAAAAAAAAAAAAAAAAGATTTAGCTGGCATTTAAACAGCTAATCCTCATCTTTCTTCAACTGACTCACCCAAGTTAGTGAGATTAGGGGCTGAAAGGGAGGGAAATAGTACACTGAGGCTCTACTAAGGATGGTTATGAGATGAATTCTATAGCACCTGCACTAGAGGTGCCAATGCCAAGGTACACACTAGGAATTTAAGGATTAGAAGGAAGGTCCTCTTGGATACAAGTTCACAAGTAACCTGAAAGCTGAAATTCAGTCTAAGTTATTTATTGGAATGGGAGATAAAAAATATGTAAAGAGATAATGATCTCTTAAGACCAAGAACCCATCAAGAGCTCCACCTGCTCAGCATCAATCACAACTAGTCAGGTAGGAAGTTAATTTAAAAAGGTTACATGCAGACCAAGCCAACATCTTTTCACCTTGTGGGCTAATTTCCACTTCTGGTGTTCCATCTCAGAACCCCACCACAGTGCAGAGTAGAACAAGTGTCAGGCTGCCTGGGCTCTAGTACATTTTTCCACCACTGCCTGCTATGACTGCTCTATGCCTATTTCTTCACCAATAAAAAGGGAATTACAGTATCTACCTCATAGCAACTAATGTTAGCAAGATAATCACTGGCATCATAACTATCTACGCCATTGTGGTCCAGTCCATTGTGGTCTGGTTATTTTGTTCTTTTTATTCTTTATTTTGGCGGTACTGGGGTTTGAACTCAGGGCTTCATGCTTTCTAAGCAGGTGCTCTATCACTTGAGCCACTCCACCAGCTCTGTTCTGGTTATTTTGGAGATGGGGGTCTTGTAAACTATTTGCCTGGGCCGGCCTCGAATCATGATCCTCCTGATTTCAGCCTCCCAAGTAGCCAGGATTATAGGCTTAAACCACTGGGCACACCTGGCTACAACTATTTCTTTTATTGTACGGGATTTGAACTCAGGATCTCATGCTTGCTAGGCAAGGCTCTATCACTTGAGCCATGCATCCAAGTCCATTTTGGTTTTGATTTGTTTTTCAGATAGGGTCTGGCCACAGACCATGACCCTCATACCTCCACCTCTCAAGTAGCTGGGATTACAGATGTGAGCCACCATGCCTGACCCCAGCATCACCACTTTATGTTAGCTTTGTTTTCTCTGTCCACTTTACTCAGTGGTTCCCAGAATATACATGCCAAGTCAAATGAAAATCAGCTGCAGCAATCCAAAGGTTTTTTTTTTAATTGTTTTTGCTAATACAACAGAACCATCATAGCAGCTCAGCTCTACAACCCATTGATCCCAAGACTGTTCTGGTGAGAGGATTAAGAGTGGACAGAAAGTCTTTGCCCCCCTTCTGTCTTCCACAGGACACAAACATGCATCTGTCATCAAGAATTTAAAGCCTTCTTGATCCTTCTATGATGTCACCAAGAGTATTGCCTTCTGAGGTTAGGCTTCTAGGTCTGCTATGAGATAGTTAGGGTAAGGCTTCCTTTCACATTTCAAGAACTGTGATTTGAGATAGGACCTGAGCATGTGACTTTACAGACTCCAACTACTTCCTGTTAGTCCTTCCAAAGTGAATATCGAAGCTACCATTCCCCAGTTTTGGAGTTCTTCAAAGTGTCACCCTCAGAAGTTATTCATGGGACACACACAGGATTTATCACAAAGGCAGGATAAAGTGTGAGTTCTTCTTTGGTCCCAGCACTTGGGAGGCAGCATCTTTCAGAAGCAGCTCCTTCAACATTGTTTAGAATGTTGAAGTCATGAAGGGTTGTTCAGGCCCTCTGCCTGAAAAGCTTCGCAGAGGGCGCTTCCTAAAAGTTTCATAGAGCCCCATAATGTTACTATCCTTTGCTCTTTAGTGTTATGATCCTACCTGTAAAGTTACCAAACCTTTGAGCCCTGGATGCCTCTTTCAGATTTCATATCTTCTCAAATTCACTAAATGCCTTCTGAATTTCAGAATGCAGTTACCTACCACCTGATGCAAAACTGCAGTCTTATTCTACATAAATCACCAAGCAGCTCTGCAGGAGGCAGAGAGGGACAGCATGGGGTGTGGAGAACCCAATCCATTCCTATCACATGCATCCCCCTGACCTGCCTTGTAAGAGACTCAAACATCCTGTGATCCCTCTTGACTCCACTGTGGGTCAGGACTCTGAACCAAACAGTCTCACTTCAGTTGCCTTATTTTTTACCTTGACTAGAAATGATCTAAGTATGGAAGGGAAGGGAGCCTGCTCTGGGACACAGTTTCAAAGCCAAACCCCAAACTATCTTTGCACACAAATATTGTGAAGAGATAAGCTCAGTGTCCACTTCTCCCATGACCTTCAGGGTTCAGGCTGGCACCTTGAGCTCTGCACAGTAGAGTCACTGCCAACAACTTTCCCACTTCTAAGGAGGAACACAAAAAGGAGTGTGGAATAGAAACTGATGCATAACTTTCATCATTCTAATGCCCCAAGCTTCCTGGGACAGCCAAGATCTCACCTTAACTGATTGTCCCTGCTTCACCTCCAGCACTGGAGACGGGACATATAGCTGCATCTTCAGGGTGCTGGAGGCAGGCGCTGTGGCAGGAGAGGCAGTGAACAAGGGTCAAAGCTTTGTCAGGTTACCTCATCCAGACCCTTTGATCCAATCATCCCATTTCTGAGAACTGATTCCAAAGTAACTCTCAATAGAGACTGGCGTTTTCCTTCATTTGGCAAATTCCACCTCTCATTTCCAGCTAATGACTAGGTCCTCAAGTGCTAGATCCACAGCTCCAAGCCTAAACCATGCTACAGGGTTCATGGGCACATCCCGCCAGTCACTTTCTTTGCTGCTCCATTCCTCATCTTCAGCCTTTCTGGGTCTGCGGGATTTCTGGAGACAAGAACTGCACAAAGCATGGTGAAAAAGAGAAAGGGGACAGCTTCCACTTCCTGGTGATCATTGCTTCCCACATCCTAGAGTTTCAATGGGCTGAAAGATGATGGCTCAGTTCTTTGCCTTTATCATAAACTGCTGAATGGTGGAAGTTCCCAGCAGGCTATTTAAACGTAGTGAGCAGTCCCATACTGACACTTGAGCCAAGTATCACACCAGTGTGGGACAGAAGTGTCTCTGAGTCACACGTGGTCAGCTCTGCTGAGGGTGGAGATCCTGGACACCAGACTTGCAGATCCTGGAGGACAGTGTCCTCCATGTTGGAACTGTTATCACCTGGCCTAATGGTTTCTTGTGTGTCTGAAGCCAGTTGGTAGGGAGGCAAAAATGACTGATTTAAACAGGTCTTTTGATATTCGGACAGCTCAGCAGGACTGCACAGGGCTCTCTGGAGGCAGCTATCACCAACCTGGTAAGGAGGAAATATGGCCGAATCTTCAGGGTGCTGGAGGCAGGCGCTGTGGCAGAAGAGGCAGTGAACAAGGGTTAAAGCTTTGCCAGATTACCACATCCAGACCCTCTGACCCAATCTGTCCACTACTGAGAACTAAATGCAATGTAACTCTCAACTGGAAGAAACTGGATGCACAAGAACATGTGCTTTGGCAGCCACACGAACAGAATATGGACTCTGGAGTGAGGCTCGCCTAGCCACTACTAGACAAGTAGCTCACTGGCTCACAGGCTCTGTAAATCTCCTTTTCCTTGCCTGTAAGACAGATGACAGCACCTACTTCCCAGATCACTGTGAGGATTAAGTGAGATAATCCATGTAGACCACCTAAGATATAGCATGTGCTCAATCACAAATGTCAGCTATTATTATTTATCATGCATGAGGACAAAAATGGAATGTAGAGAAAAGGAAACAAGTGATCTTAAGGGTGACAGAATTGAAGAGAAGAGTCCATGACTATTCTGACAATATCATTTTTTTGGTCTTGGACATTTTGCAGGTGTGTGAAGGATGCCATAGTGGTTGAACTCTGAAGCTTAGGAAAAAAGAAGCAAAACAGACAATTGGCATTTTTCCCCAGGTCGTCTACTACTTTTCTTGATTTCACTTGGGAAACTATGGGAATGCAGTAAGAGGAGGAAGATGGAGGACATGGGAGGGAAGGAATAAAGAAGGGTTTCAACATCAAAACCTCAAAATATCCACCTCCACTGGCTCCCACAGTCCTAAGGCAGGGCTGCACACTGGTGATCACTGTCCTGATTATGAGTTCCTTGGAGAGTGAGCTCACTTGGCTGGGGGCTCCTGCAAGGCTGCATTGAGGCCCATTGCCATGGCAGCAACTAAATAGGCAGACTCCTAGCCAGCCAAGGTCATGGTGTGGCCAGGACAGAGAGGAAGAACACATCTTGTGATGGGAAGCAAGTAGTCCATTCTTAGGACTCTTGACACAGGGCACAACACAGTTCTCCCCTTCCCCCTTGGTTGTCAAGACAGACAATGGTCCATTCCTATTAAGGAAACGAGGAAACATGTAGCAAGTGCTAATCAGTTCAGAACCTAAACAGTGCTTTCATAGACCTAACAGAAGTCTAGCTAGTGGTTACAATCCTTCCTTTTAAATTAATTCCATCCATAAATATTGTATTAAGTAACCCCCAAATAAAAAAGAATCATCTTTTAAAAAGTGAAATGTAATACAACTACACATAAAAATGTAACAAATGCTAGGCATGGTAGTGCATACCTGTAATCCCAGTACTTAGTAGCCTGAGGCAGAAGGATCAAGAGTTCAAGGCTTGCCTGAGTTACATAGTGAAGCCCTGTCTCAAAAAAAAGTTAACAATTCCTTAATATCAACAACTATCCAATAAGAGTTCAAATTTCCAGTTGCCTCATAAAGGTCAAAAACAAGTGTTTTCTCAGCATTTAAACATTGTCTTCCCCAAAGATAAAAAGATTCTGAGCCACAACAATTTCTGACTTAAGCTAACTTCCTCACTAAGATAGATGAGCAAACCAAAGCCCAGAGATGTCAGATGATTTGCCCAGGATCACAGCTGGCTAAAAACAGATGGCCTGATCCATAATTCAGTGCTCTTTCCTCTATTTCATACTGTCTGGTAGTAATGAACACTGGGGTGACTACTGGAAGCTTTAAGTCAGGAAGCCTTATCTAATAATACCCACTTCCCTGTTGGAGAAAGATCACCACTTGAACCCTCCTACAATCTATTTTACTCACATGAAAACTAATTTGGTGTTAATACCACTAAGCAGAACTCAATCTTCATCTTGTGCTTCAATTTAGTTTTGGAAAATGGGGGTCCTTAATGACCTCTACTCTGTTCTTAACAGTAACCAGCTCTGGAAAGGTAAGCAGGACCACTTGCTACAGAGGGAAGGTGGCACATGGTAGGGATCTGTGTTCTGGTTGTGCAATAATGTGAAGACTGTCTAAGAATAGGCCCAATGATTTCACTTCTATCAAAACACTGTTTAGTTTTTAAGAGTATGAGAAACCCCCTCCCCATCTCATTCTATAAGGACTAATTTGCCCCTTTTATACAACTGGACAAGGACAACACATTTACACAAAAGAAAAAGTGAGAGGTGGTGGAGAGAAAACTATAGGTCAATCTTACTAATAAACAGAGGCCAAAATTACAAGCAAAACAAAAGCCAATCAAAAGAGTAGTATGTACAATAAAATTAATTAGGGGATATGCAAAAGGAAAAGAATAGGGAGTCATGTGTAGTAGTACAGGTCTATAAAACCAGCTACTAAAGGAGGTAGAGGCATGAAGGGTCACAGTTCAAGGCCAGACAGGCAAAATATCTCAAAAAAAAAAAATATATCAAAAACAAAATTTAAAAAAGGGCTGTGTGTGGTTGGGGGTGTGGCTCAAGTGGTAGAACTTTTACCTAGCAAGCATGCAGCCCTGGATTCAATCCCTAGGACTAAAAAAAGGGGCTGATGGAGTGACTCAAGTGGTTAAGCACCTGCCTGGTAAGTAAATGTGAGGCCCTGAGTTCAAACCCCAGTACTGCCAAAAAAAAGCAAAACATCACCCCCAACAAAGACACAGGAAAACATGTATCCTTATCACTATGACTACAAGTGGAAATAAGTAAAACATTTTGAATGTTAAATGCACATACCCTCTACTTACTAGTCTCAGACACAAGAATTGTGAACAAAGGTGTTCACAGAATCAAAAACCAAAGCATATCATAACCCTCTACCTAAAAGGAGGTAGTGAGGTACACTTTCATGCCCCACCCCATGAAATACTAGCCAGCCTCTGACATGATGTGGATAGGTCTCTGTGTAACCAATAGGAACATGTCAAACATGATATACAGTGAGTATTATCTGTGGGAACAGCACCATGGGAAGTTTTCACTTTCTAAATTATGTTATTTCTATGATGCTTGAATAATTTAAAGTAAACACAATTGCTCTTGTAATTAAAAAATGAGTAAAATGAAGAAATGGGAGCACTTCTACCCCTCTGCAAGCAAAGGTAGCTATGATCCCAATGACTTTTAGGCGCTGATCTCCCTCACACAGCATTTGTCCCTAACTAGAAGACCCAGAAGGATTTGGGGAATGGGTTAGGAATTGTCGCCTGCCAGTAGTATCCAAGTTCCCAAGCTATACAGCCTGCACAACACTTTTCCATACACAAGAAGGCCTGACTCAAAGAGTGCCTACTGAAAAAGAGGTCACTCAGTATTGGACTGGAGTAATTTTTTTGCTTGTCTGTTTGTTTAACCTCCAATCTTTGGTTGGTTCCTCAGAGGATCCTTTTAAGATTAAAATCATTTTACTTGAAAAGGTCACAATGGAAATCAGGTTATGTAAGAAGAATGATAGTGACTTTCTGGGGAAGAAGCTATAAAAACCTAGCTGTGCCCTAAAAAGACATTAATAAATGCCAAGGTCTGGGAAGGCACAGTACTGGAAAGTCATTAGTCAGAGTACTCACAACCAAGAATGGGAGGAGAAAGGGAAGGAGAGGGAAAGTACAAAGAAATATTACACATCAGCCACTGCTACAACCAAATATTTACATATCTAACCCTCACAACAGCCAGGGAGTGTTACAGAAAAAGAGACTCAAAGAGGTCCATGACTTGCTCAAAGTGACAAAGCTACAAACCCCACAGCCTGGATTTGAATCTAGTCTGCCTACAAGTCCAGTGCAGTGGCATGGCAGCTCCCCTGATTAGTCAGTGAGCTGGCCCCAAAATTTCATTTTACAGCCAATTTCCAAATGGATTCACCTGTGAGCTGTGAGGCAGCACTTGGGAGGTGGCCTCCTCAGAAGGGGCTGCTCCTGAGCCCATGGGGCTCAGCGTGGTGATTCTGCTTGGCTGGCCACGTAGTGTCAGAGTAATGGTGGTGGGGACCTTCAAGCCTGAGAAAGAAAGAGAGAAAAAGAGAGAGAAGCAGAGTTTTTGGTCATAGCCTCTACTCTGTACAAACTGTCCTTTCCTAAAAATTCTTCCCCACATAACATACCCTTTGGGCTCCTCCCCAGCTGGGTCATCTATGCTCTATCAGTCAATCTGAAAGGCAGCAGAAAACAGCCTGTGTTCTCTAGACCTCTCTAGGGGGATGGGCCCACAGCTGAATCCAAAGATCAATGCCATGACCCTATGAGGTTAGGTTCAGACCTTGCCCGCATGAGATGGGAAGGTGGTGGGGGAAGAACCCAGATCTGGGAGTCCCCACAGTTCTTGTGAGACTCACCTGATGCTTGGTTAGAGATCTGAGCCAGGCCAGGGAGGCTGCTTGCCAACTTAGCGAGGCCCCCATTAGTCAGCAGCTGGTGAATGGCTGTGGGCTTCCCACCAGGAGTGGCACCCAAGGAGGAGAGAGTGGTGGCCACAGGAATGGTACGGACAATGGTGCTTGTGCCCGTGGTGATGGCACCCAGGCTCTGCATGGGGGTGGGCAACTTCACACTGGTGGCCTGTTGGACACACAAGCCCAGGTGATCAGAAGCTGCTGCCCAACAGTAACATTGGAGCTTGGAGGGCCCACAGCATACTATTAACGGCTAACATGTATTGAATGCCCACTACATGCAAGGTACTCTTCCAGGCATTTTGCACATACATCATCTTTAATCCGCACAATAATGAGGGAACTACTATTATTACCTCATTTTACTGACAAGGCAACAAAATAGAGAGGTCAAGAAACTTGCCAAAGGCAATATAGGAAATGATGCACCTTAACTTTTGGCAGCTCCCTGGCTATGTAGTTAGAAGGCTGTTTGTCCTTGACACATTGACTCCAGACCCAGTCTCCCTACCAAAACAACTAAGCTGAGGAGTCTTCTTCCCTGCACCTGCCCAACCCAGTGGAAGGCAGATGTGCACCTGTGGGGCTGGCCCTGGGGAGGGATTTGCTGGGAGGCCAGAGGTCTTGCTGCTGATGTCCTGTAAGCTGAAGCTGAGGCCCTGGAGGAGGCTGCTGGCTGATGTGGCCCCTAGGAGAGGACATGGCATGTATCAGCACAAGCCAATCACTCACATGTACCCATGAGCAGCCACACTGTCCACCATCACCAACTAAACTCAACCCAAGCCCTTGCCCTTGGACATTCCCCTGCCCTCAGAAAGACACCAGGAGGGGCTCCCCCGGCACGCACACAGTGGATGCCACTTGAGGAAAGGTGCTATGTCAGACACTGCCTTGGATTCGCTCTGCACATCCCAACCTGCTCCAAACCACCAGTCCTGTTAGGAAAAACCAAAGAGAACTTGAATTCCACCTTTCAGAAATTTAAATTCCCCTCCTTTATTTCCAGGAAAGAGGAGGGACTCTTTTTTTTTATTTTCTTTTTTAAATGCAAATAAAAAGTTTAATTTTTAGAAAACTGAGTACACTATAAATACACTAAAACATAGTTCACTCAAATTTAGATTGAGCATCAGTATAGTATTTTAACAAAATGACAACTTTTCTTTAAAAGGTCACTGGCAAATGAGTGATTTGTCTCACTCAGAATAACTGACTGGAAATGAGAAAATGAACCCTTTTTTAAAAGTTAAAGCAAGAACTCTGAGGACATATTGCTAAAAGAATCTGTCAACTGATATGTCATTCTGATGTCCTTGGGATTCTACAAAACCCCAGTGACGGTTGGATCTTCCCTATCACAGAAAAAAATGAAAACATGTAAGGCTAGCCTCACAAATGTAATGTAACAAGCCCCTTCCCGAGGAAGGACTTTTGAAGCTAAATGGATTCTGGATATCTGACTTACACTTCACCTTACCCACACTTCGTCATCCTCAAGGCACAGAGAAAGGTCTTCCTGAAGGAAAAGGACATCTATAATGCCCAAGCCCAGTGAGCTCAGGGCAACTAGCCTTTCCATGCAGGGTGGGGTCGGAGAAAGTGAGGGGCAAGCACAGGCAAAAAACACCTTGTTTTCCTAATGTCCAGTATAGCGCAATGTCCAGTATAGCACCGTTTCCAATTTTATTCAGTTATATGTATTTAAGGCACCAAAATGATACTAAATGCATGTATCACCATCATCTAATTCCCATCCTTATAGTAGAGAGTACAGCCACCGCTCACTGCAGATATAAAGGCCAAGGAATTCCCTCCACCCAAGCTAATTCCAACTTCCTATCAGCCTTTAGGACCACTGTGAGGCCTAGAGGCACACTTCCAGACCCAGCTCCAAGGATGTGTGACTAAGACCACCCTCCAGCAAGTCCAAAAAGACTTTACTGGGAGGGGGGGACAATGGGCTACAAGATACCTGGGAGGGAAGTGCCAGGAGAGGTAGCCACCAAGCGGCTCTGGAGTGTGTGAAGTGCACTAGGTGTGGTGCTGCCGGAGGCCAGCGTTGGGGCTGGGCTGGCTGTAACTCCACTTTCAGAACTTGACCTGGAAACAAAGAAAGGAACTTTGCGTCCAAAGGTCAGAGAGCAGCAAGCTCTAACAACACACAGCGGGCCCCAGAAAGGCTTTTAACACTGGACACAGTCTAGAACCTTCAGTTTCTTTCTTCCAGCTTCTGAACCCCACCTCTATCCTCCTAAAAGTCAATCCTCAAGAACTCAGACCTTACAGCAAAGCCAGAGATGCTCTGTAATGAATTCTGAGCTGATCCAAATGAAAGACAAAGATCCCAATCAGACAAAAGTCAGAATCCTATAGTTGACAGATATCAGAATCTACCATCTTCCTGAAATACTAAATGAACCAGAAAATGGTGAAGAGAAAGAAGGGACTAGAGACAGAGCATACTCACTTGGCTGTGGTGAGAAGTCCAGTGAGTTCCTTGGCCACTGCTGAAGCTTGTCCCAGTGTCATAGTGATGGGCTTCCCTCCTGGCACTGCAAAACAAAAGACCCAAAAGCCACCAGTCAGTATTATTTGGTCCCTACCTGAGTTCCACAACCCAGACTAAATGCAAGATATTATGGGCAAAGACTGAGAGATGAAGGGAGGAAAAAAAAAAAAAAAGAATAGCTATGTTAGAAAAGGAAAAGTTATTTTATCCTTCCATTTCCTTTTTTTTTTTTTTTTTGGGTAGGAATGGAGTTTGAACTCAGGGCTTTGTGCTTGCAAAGCAGGAACTTTACCACTCGAGCCACATGTCTAATTCTATTCTTCCATTTTCTAAGCTTTTCTGAAAAGAAAAAAATTATGGTGCTCCAAATGGCTCTACAGATGCTGCTATACGCTGCCTCCCAGATCTTGTGCAGACAAGATCACTACCCACTTTCCCAGCATGAGCAACCTCGTGCCTTTGCTGCCTGCCTGGTGAGCAGCCTCTGAGGGGTCCACGGAGTGTGCCTGGTGGAGCTGGTCAGCTTACTGAACAGGCCGTGAAAGACTCACCTTCTGGGGCTCCTCCCTGGGAAGGAGTACAAGGCCCTCCAGCCACATCCCCTTGGGAGATGAGGGATACCTTGATCTTCGGTCTCTTGGAAGTCTTACTGCCAGGAAGAGGACTGGAGGGATGGTGCCGTTTCAGCTGGACCCTAAGCTCCTCCTTCTCTGATTCCTCCACTGGTTCTGATGAAATAGGAACTAAGAGATGGAGCTGAGGTGAAATCTTCCACAAGCCAAAAAAGCCTCAAAAACACTGCCAGTCAATGCCAGCAAGGAACAGCCATTTGGAAACAACATAGAGGGCCATATCCCACATATGAGGCCATACTTCACAGTTCTACCTCAGGCCCCCACCATGCCCTTCTCAGAGGATAGCTCCAACCCCACTGAGCACTCTGTCCTAGAGTTGGAAGGGAAGGGATCTTGAGCTATTGGGAACAAGAAGATAGAAGACCCAGTAAGCCTGACTAGAAAAGGTCAGTAACAACACAAAATAGAGGATTCACCACCACAGTGCCTCTAAACAGCCCTTCCCATACTCAAAGAATGTGGTAATTTTCCTGGAGCCAGCCCATCCCCCATCATTCCACAGTTAGGGGGCAGAAAACATTCTCTGAGGAACACATGGAGGAGTGGGCCACCTAGTCCTCTGCAAATTTTCACAGGACTTCCAGAAGTATCCCTTGCCCTAAAAACCCAAGGTTGAGAGTCTGTCTGAATGTCAAATGGAGGCAATGAGAGGGATTGTCACCAGGACTTCAGGCTGGTGCTCAGTAGCTACTAGGTAAGGACCATCTCAGCTCAGGCAATTTAACAGCTCCTGCCCAAAAGTAACAGGGAAGCAGTGGTCCATGCATGACCTACTCCCCAGGTTATTTGTATAATACCGAGAAACGCCATCTATTCACACATGGGTCTCCCCCTCCATTAACTCAAACAGACTCATTATGCACACAGCAAAGCCTTCTGTACTCAACTTAGCCTTCAGGCTTACTTGGGTTTGAATCCAGGGCCTACAGCATGCTAGGCAAGCACTTTTACAGCTTAAGCCACACCCCTAGCCCTTTTGTTTATATTTTGTTTTCAAGATAGGGTCTCACTAATGTTGCCAAGGCTGGCTATTGGCAACATTTCATGATCCTCATGCCTCTGTCTCCCAAATAGCTGAGATTATAGGTAGGCACCACACCTGGCTAGGTTCCCTCTCTTTATACCTAGAAGTTCTCCTTAGTCCCTCTTAGTACCAGCAAGCAGGGCTGGGGGAGGGGAGGAAAGCAGCAGTCCATGAAAATGGGGTGGAGGTTAGGGTGGTGGGGACTGTCCTGGCATGGGGCCACAGTCAAGCAATCACTAGCTAGAAGGACTGCTTAGGATATAAAAGTGCTGGCTAAAGTCAGAGGAGGAAGGGAAGTGGCTACTGAGTGGCTGGTATACTTATACCAGCTAGGATGGAAACAGGAACAGAGAAAGGGAGAAAACAGAAAAGGAAACTCAGGTTCACAGACAATGGGTCACAGGCAAACAAAGGAGAAGCAAAGGCAAGAAGCACAGTCAAATAACTACAATAAGAGAGGGAAAAAAAAAAAAGAAAAACACCATGAGAAGCAAACAAAGAACAGAGAAAGAGCAAAGGCTACAGAGTAAGCAAGGGGAGTTGACAAAAAGAATTAGGAGACAGAAGACATAGAAAGAAAAGGAAGAAACCAGATAGACAGCAGAGAAGAGTGATGGGGGGAAGGTAAGAAGGAGGGAAGAAAAGCAGCAAACCCAGGATGAGGAGGTGAGAGAAAGCAATACTCACCAAAGAGACAGGAGGAGGTGCCAGGAGGAAGAGCTTTCCTCACCAGCATGTTTTGTTTCAGAAAAGCAGCAAACTGTGCTGGAATGAATCAGAAAGAATTACAGAATCATAGGCAGTCAGAGAAAGCAGAGAGAGTGGAAATAAGAAAAAGATGAAAATGGCCAACAGGGGCTCTTTCTGAGGTTACTGCTGCTATGTGGCAGCTTCATAAACTGAAGATAATAACACATACCTATCTCATGGGGTGGTTGTCATGACTCAACCTGCTAGGGCAAGTCAAGAGCAAGAGGGCATAGCATGTTTTAAGGGCTCTGTTTGTATTAGTTATTATTCTCTGCTTATTCATTTGCTCTGCTAAAGCCAGGGTTCTATGGCAGCTTGCTGTCCTCCATAACACTGTGTCCCAGTTTCAACCCAGCTTACCAATCAGCTTTCCAGAACATCTTGGTTTCTTGAATATCCGGGCTGTCTAGAAGCAAAGCTAGCTCTGTCTTCATCAAACATCTGCCCATGGAGAACTTGACTGTGACCACCATTCAATAAGAGCCGGGTTACAGGGCATCCATGCAAACACTAGGGTCCTGGTCTCTTCTTTTGCCTGCATACCCATTCATATTACTACTTATCAGCATCACTCTTATGAGCAATCTCACAAGAGGCCTGGGTTTACGTTCTGATTCTTTGGCTCCACTAAAAACAACCATGAGTAGATCAAACATCCTCTGCCTGACAACATGGGATACTGTCTCCTCCTAGGCAATCCCATTCTCAAGAACCTCAGACAACAAATGTTCTTGGGTTTATTATCAAACACCATTGGCCAAGAGGCCTTAGCTCAAGGCCACCCACCTGGATCATAGTATACATATGTATGTGTGGTTGGGGGGAGAAGAGCAAAGTCACTCACTGTTAGCTTCTCTTTCAACCCAATGAACTCTCCCTTTTCTATAGCTCCTCACATAGTACTTGTAGTTCTCCAAAACCCTAATTTCAACTATACATGTATTTCCCAGCTTCATCTACAAGTTAACTACAGAACCCCAATCAACTTTGTGATTTCCAGTGTGGGAATCTTAACTCTTCAAGGGTAAAATGAAGAAAGGGCATGATACCAAGTGAGATACCCTAGAACCCGATGAATAAAACCACCCTGTATGCTCAATCTGTAAATCACCCTGACTGTAGTAGCAGCTGGCAGTGCTTAGAGCAAAAGAAGATACAGCTTCCCCAATTAGCCATTTTAAAAAATTTGGGCCAGTATGCATATAGTCAGCTTACAAACTCAATGTCTCCAGCACATCAAGACAAAGCTGTAACTAAGAGCCCACAAAACCACACTAACACACAACCCTTGGGATTCATTTCAACCTAATTTTGTCTAGACAGGAATGTGGGAAAGGGTGTCTCTCACATTCCCCTGGAAAAAGCTACAGATATAATACTTTCCAACTGCTACATGACATCAGCTCCAGAAGACAGAAACCCAGTGGGGCTGCTGGGCCAGAAGCCTATACCTTGGGCTTGTTTGTGGGTCAACACAGCTTCTGTCCGCTGTACATGTCTCTTCAGCAACTGGGAGCTCCCAATCTGACTAGACTTCTGGGCAGAAGTCACTGTGGTCACTTTGGTCTTGGGACTGGAGGTGGGGCTGCTTGACACACTGGAGAGATCCTGAGCAGAGTGAGAAGGCCAAGAGATGAGTCCATGTTGTTTGGAATCAGCCATCGGCCAGCATGTCCCTTGGAACTTCCAGGCATCCCAAGGGAGCTAAGGAGGCAACTGTGTGGTCCTCAGTCTCCAGCAAAAGTGCTCCCTCCCTGACTACACTACCTCTGAGCCTGAGGGTGAGGCAGGCAGCTTGGCAGCTGGAGAAGCAGGTCGACTGCCTCGCTCAGGGACTTCAAAGGCCAAGTCTCTTCGGGTCACGTCACGGGGCTTCTTTTTCTTCTCAGCATCCTGATCCCGAGGGTCAGAGCCCATGTGACCCTCAGTTCGAGTAAGCACTCCAGTCAGAAAGTCCACAATCTCATCCTAGTATAAAAAGAAGCCAAGTCCTATTAGTCCTCTGGAGAATAAGAGCCTCCAGATATGCTAATCTTTCCCCACACAAAAAGCTCCACAAAAACCATGCTTCTGAGAGGCTGTGGTTGGAGAAGACTAGCATGTGCCTCTGTGAAAGGCACTCTGGAGTGGGTAAATGTTACTCCTCCTCCAGCAGGCCCTTTCACCCCAATGCCTCACCCACATCTCAATTAACCTCTCCTTTACTTTTTCTCCCCGTCCCCCTTTCTTTTGTTTATATGTCAGGCCTACAGAGGGCCCAGCAGATACCCCCTCCTACTTCAGTGCAAATGCACCTGCTGCCAGCAAGACCAAACCTAAAAGGCAATAGAAAGGAGGGCTTAGATGGGAAAAACACATGGGACAACTGTTTACCTGAATACATCTGTCCACCATGCTCTGAGTCAATCCTTCCGCTTTCTTCTTTGCTTTGCTTATTCTAAGTGACCAAAAAAAAAAAAAAAAAAAAGATAAAATGTTTACTTTTTAACTATCCCATGGAAATAATGGATTTCTCCTCTGTGTAACTTTGTAGGCCTGGGAAGGACTACATTAGCCCTCAGGCTCTCTGAGTCTGTTTTCACATCTCCAAAATGGGGAATAATAATATCTCATTTAGAGAATTGTGGGGATTAAACAAGATGACCTACATAAAGAACTAAGCAAGGTGCCTAGGACTGTGCACTTCAGAAGTCCCATACCTCTGGCTTAACAGGTAAACTCTACCTGGATGGCTAGGGCCTCATAGAGAGGCTCTTAATATTAAGCTTCCAACTCTGAGGTTACTGGATTAGTGGGAGGGGAAGAAAGGGGGTCCCACATTAGTTCTAAAGAGAGAAGAGAAAATGACCTCATTCAGCTGCATTCCCCTTTGAATGCTCGCCTTAAAAATCCCTGGTTTCACTGAGCACCAGTGGCTCACCTTTGGAGACTGAGATCAGGAGGGCCGCAGTTCAAAGCCAGCCTGGGCAAATAGTTCTAGAGACCCTATCTCCAAAACAACCAGAATAATATGGACTGAAGATATACTTCAAGTAGTAAAGCACTGAGCTCAAACCCCAGTTCCATCAAAAAAAAAAAAAAAAAAAAAAAATCAAAACAGAATTCCTATCTCTCTACTCCCCCATGGCATCTCAACACACACTATTCCCCCCTGTAGATAACAAAGTATTTACATGAAAACATTGCCTTCAGCATCAAAAGACAAGTTGGCATGAATGACAAAGGCCAGAAAGATTCCTCCAAAACATCTGAGTAGGAAGTAGGAAACTAGGAAGACAACTAGAAGCAGGTACTTTCTTAGCTCTCTAGTTAAAACACACAAGTGAAATTTAATCTCTAAGACTGAGTGTACAGGGCTGGCAGAATGGCAGTAGAGTGCCTGCCTAGCAAGTGTGAGGCCCTGAGTTCAAACTCCAGTACCACACACACTCACAGATTAAGTGTATATAAAAAAACAGGCCAAATAAATGAGACAACCTTTTTTTTTCACTATATTTCATGGAAACGTAACTACAGATCCTATGTACCCCAGCCCTGAAGGGGAAGAATAGCTGTCTCAATGACCAAAATCATCTTCCTAAAACCCCTCTCAAACTCTGGGTGTATTTATACCCCAAAATATATCAAATGAGGCTTTCTACAAATAACATCTATGTTAACATTCCTCCTCAGTAACGAATAAAAATTTTTAAAATGCCTACTCTAGTAAAAGTTTGATGATAAAGAATGTATCTACAGAGTCTTAAAGTTTCTTCTCCCCACATGGTAACTACTTACAAAGGAAAAAATAGTAATTTCATAGCGGAGAACCTCGGAGAAGCTACTTTAACCATGAGATAAAGCAAATTAACATCAGGTATCACCTGATGGGATGTACATCACCTCTGTGGCATTCCTGCCAAAAATATACACCTTCAATGTAATCAGAAGAAAATGTCAAAAACCTAAACTGAAGAATCTACAAAATAAAAAATGTCAAGGTCATCATGAAATACGAAGACTAAGAAATACTTCAAATTAAAAGGGACTGAGGAGACTTGGCAACTAAACACAATGTGTGATCTTAGATTGGATCACGGACCAGAAAAAGGACATTTAGGAAGACAACTGTAGATTGATAATGCTATAATACTAGTGTTAATTTCCACATGTCCTCATTTCGAGAATCATACTTTGGTTATATAAGATGTTGGCATTTGGAAATCCAGGTGAATGGCACATTTTTTTAAAACAAGTTTTACAACTTTTTATAAATCTGAAATTAAAATGTAAAACAAAACAAAAGAACACCTTTTTTACATGCCAGATTAGTCTACAGTTACACCACTACGTCGCAGGCATTTTTCTAGCACTGTATCATGCTCTCTTGAAGATCTGGGGGAACCTGCCCACCTGAGATTATCATCAGCTCCTCCAACCACCACCAGGCTGTTTTCAGCTCGAATCTTCTCCCGAAAGTCCTCCATGGCTTCAGGGTGACACTGTAAGGAATTCTGACCAATGACAAAAAGAACTGGAGTCTTCATATCCAAGAGGGGATCATCCACATCCTAAAACAGATGAAGGTTTTAGATTTGGTCAATTTATCCTCAGGAAGAACTGAAGTCAGCTATGCATCTACAGTGTACCTCACCCCAACTTGGATGGGGCACACACTCCCGCTGTTCCCCATTCCCACTGCCAGTGACTCAGCAGCCAGCTTCACCTCACTCTTACCCCTCGGGGGCCATCCACAGTAAGTAGGGGAAACCCCAGGCAGATAACTGCAGTGACATACTCCATTACTGACACCTGTAAAAAAATGACACCATTTGCAGTGACTTCACTACACTTCAGCCTACCCAGAATCCAGGGGTGGCCCAGACCTTCTACCTAGTCCCACCTCTTCTCCCCTTGTCATAATCCCCCAGTTACATCAGCCTTGGTGGCAACAGTAAAAGTACAGAACGTAAGACATACTTCCCACAAGTAGCCACTGCCTAGAAAAGGACTCCAGCACATGGCTGAACCATAGGATGAAATCCTGTTAACACCTAGACCACAGCCTTCTCACTGTTTTTCTCCTTCAGGAATAAATATAACTAAGAGAACACAAATGATACTGGGCTAGGGGTGTAGCTTAGTGATAGAGCCCTTGCTTACCATACCCAAGGCCCTGAGTTCCATCCCTAGCACTGAAGAGAGAGGGGCAAAGAGAGAGAAGAGAGGAGAAGGTAGGGGAGGGGAGAGGAGGGAAGGGGAGACAGCGTGAGTGAGAATGCACATGTGTACAAATGTTGCCATTCTCCCTTAACTGGAGAAAATCTCTCTCCATTGGGGTTAAGAGATAGCTCCCAGAAGTCCCTGATTTCTTGAAGCAGTGAGTGACTGACTGAGTTTTGGATTACCAGGGAATAGGGAGTATAAGAAGATACCTTCTTTCTCTCATCACTCTAGGTATCATACTCAACTAGACTAGATAGAAGAATTGGGGCTTGTCACTTGATGTCTTATAAAGGGACCAAAAATGAACACATCAAATTCCAGAGCTATTAATTTGTACCTACTACAATTATTAATTTTTAGATGGGAGAATAGTATGTTACTTATGTTTGGAGAAAAAAGGAATCATTTTTTTATGCTGAAACATGTGTAAATGAAATACATTTCGGGCTTTCTTCAAAATAACCTGGGGGAGAGAAAAAAATAGGAAGGGGTAAGACAAAATAAGCCTGGCTATGAGCTGACCACCAGTAAAGCTTGGTGAGGGGCCCAAGGAGCTCATTACTATTCTCTTGATTTTGTTCTGCTTAAAACTTTCCATGATAAAGTTAAAAGCTAAAGTTTGTCCTTTACTGTTTAAAATGCAATTATACAAATAAAGCATTTATCTAGGAACTAAAACACAGTGAAGAACTCAATGATAGCCATCAGTAGTAACAGCAGTATTATATCCCAAAACAACCTCCAATTTCTTAATGAACTCTAAATAAGATCAAAATAACTTACATGACAGGCCACCAAAGCTCCTGTGTTCCATCCAATCAAAATAATGGGTTTGTGTGGGAAATGACTGTGAATCTTTGTGGGAAAAGAAAAAACAAGTAAGACAGGAGGCCACAGATAGGTGGAAAAAAGCCCAGATCCTGGGTGTACCACAGTGAACTCAAACAAGGGCATTCTCACCTCAAGTACTTTGCTTCTCACTGCCCCAATCATGTGCTCAAGACACTGCAGAACACCAACCCCACTGCCATTGTTCAGCAGATGGGTGGCTACAGGGATGACCTAAACAAAACAAGGGGCGTCCATGTCAGCAGTGGTTAAGTTTCAAATCTTTTAATTCTGCTTAACTTACCCTGAATCCCTTCAACCTTGGACAAACACCATTCAAATGTCAAATAAAAGACGAGTTAGGGGTATGAACATTTGGGCTCAAACACATTGACCACCTCTTGCAATCCTCAATCCTCCATCCTCCAAGACTATATTCCCACCCAGGAGAGTTCCTCTTGCCCCAACACATACCTTGCCTAAGCAGGAGAGCTGAGACTGCCAAAATCGGTGGCGGCGTGAGGTGGGGAACACAGAGCTGGACGGGCCGGAGGAGGCAATGAGAATCAGAGGAGAGCCAGGGAGTTTGCTCTGAGGAGAAAGAATCCCACCCAAGAACCACTGAGAAAAAGATGTTCATCCATAAACTCTCAATGACTATATCCCAATACACTTCTCCCCGCAACCAATGATCATTTGCTTAAGAAACTATGTAACAAAAAAACAAGTTATTAATGGAAAAAGTTAAGTAAGCCTTTTATTATCCTCTTGCCAAGGTTCTAAGGCCTAAGCATACAACTTACCGGTTTGTTATGAGAAAGCACCCCCACGGCAGGGTCCCAGGGCCTCTTGAGGAGGAGAGACAACGCCTCTGCTCCCGCAGCCCCAGTCTTTGTGTTGGACGATACAAGCATCCGGTCAATCAAAGTCGGGATCTAGAAAGAAGGAAGAGCAAAGAAGCTTCTAGTGTGAAGCAGGAAATCAGTAGGAAGACAGACTTCAACTAAGCCTCTCAAAGATAAGTGCGTGGACAAAAGGTATATTCCCATCATGAAAGGAAAGTGGATAATATGCATCTGGGACTTTTCCCATCCCTTTTCCAATTGGGTTCTGAGAACCTTTCCTAGGAAAATATATAAAAAATATACCCAAACAGAAAGGTGAGGACAGTTATGCAGAGAGACAAATTCACTGTCAATAATAAAAAACAGAAACAACCTAAATGTTTTTATTTGTATAACATACCGAAGTAATGTTGCTAAAATGTAAGTAAGACAGAAAACATCTGGCACCACTGCTCACGTCTGTAATCCTAGCTACCTGTAAAGCTGAGATCAAGAGAATCTCAGTTTGAGGTCAGCTCAGGCAAATAGTTCTCAAGACCCCATCTCTACAATAACCAGAGCAAAATGGATTGGCATTATGGCTCAAGTCGTACAGCATCTGCTTTGCAAGCCCAAAGCCCTGAGTTCAAACCCCAGTCCCACCCCCAAAAGAAGAAAGAAAATACAGGAACAGGTGAGGTGGCTCACGCCTATAATCCCAGCTACACAGAAGGTAGAGATCAGGAAGATGGAGATTCAACCCAGGCAAAAAGTTAGCAAGGCCCCATCTCAACCAACAAGCTAGGTATGGTGACATGTGCCTGTTATCCCAAGTACACAGGAGGTGTAAGGAAGAAGAATTGCTGTCTATGACCAGTCCCTGGCAAAAATGCAAGACTCTATCCAAAAAAATACCTAAAGCAAAAAGGGCTGGGGTTTGGCTCAAGTGGTAGAGCATCTACCTAGCAAGCACAAAGACTTGAGTTTAAACCTCATTACCATTAAAAAAACCCCAAAAACCCCCAAATCTCAGAAAATATAAAAATTATCTCTACTCAGAAAACATGCTATAAGAAAATATGCCAAAATGTTAATGTGATCTCTGTGGAATTAGGGGGTCACAGATTTCTGTATTTTCTAAATTTCTAATTTTCTAAATTTCCTCTGTGGATATCAGTTATCTAAAAATTAAAAAAAAAAAATCTTCATTTTCTTCTGGAGTAGTCTTCAAGCTGTGGCATGTTAATGAAACCTGTTATTGTATCAAAAAATATATCCTACTATATTGTGATTTCTACCATATCCTGTTTTTACTATCCACTAAAAATGTGACCTCACAGATGTATAAATATAGCTTTCAGACACACTGATGCTATGTCATGAAGAAATATTTGTGTGAATTCCACACTACCCACAAAAAGGTCAAAACAATCTCAGGAAAAGGAAAGGTTTTTAAATATTAGAGGTAGTTTTCAAAAAAAATAAAAGAGGCTTTTAGAGACTGGAGAATAAAAAGTACTATTATTTGATACAGGTTGTAAAACTTCAGAGGTAGCAGAAGATAAGCTGCTCCTAATTTAACAAGAAACACTAGGGAATATGGCTTAGTGACAGAGCACTTATTTACTACCTGCAAGGTCCTGGGTTTGTTTTATAAAATAAAAAATCAAATAAAATGAACAATGCACTTCAGTACAAGTTACTTGAAACCTGTATGCTTTTCCTCTGTGTGTGTGTGTGTGTGTGTGTGTGTGTTTCAGGTAAGTAAGTTTAATAAGATTTTAAAGCTGTATGTGGTGGTATAGGTCTGTAATCTCAGCACCTCAGGAAGCTGAGGCAGAAGGACCACCAGTTCAAGGCCAGCCTGGGTTACACAGAGAGATTCTATGGGGAGAGAGACAGAGACAGAGACAGAGACAGACAGACACAGCCAAAAAACGGTTTCTGCATGAGAAATTACAGGATTATGACCATGAGCCTATCTCAGGAACTAAATGTTTGTGCAACAGCTGCTGTTATAAGGCATCAGGGTAGTCCTACAGAGGAATTTAATCAACAAGGGGTAAGGAAGACAAACACAAAATAACACTGGGGATGTATGTGTGTGATACTTGCCATGGGAGAAGCTCCACACTGCTGATCCTAACCATCCAATGCAGAAGGGAAGGTTGGAGGTTAACAGGCAATTCTCATCTGAAGCAGCAGCTTAGGAACTGAGACAGGTTCTTTAGAATGGGTGGGGGATGGAGGTGTGACTCAAGTGGTAGAGCGCCTGCCTAGCAAGTACACGGTCCTGGGTTTAAACCCCAGAACCGAGAGAGAAAAAAAAAAAGGCAGGATTCCAAAAGATGATGAAATAGACACCAACAATAGGCAAGAATGTATAGGGCTTATTCCAGGTACAAGTGGACTGAAGCCACAGATTGCAGCAAGAAACAAGGAGGATGAAAACTAGCAACAAAGGGTAAAAGCCAAACTGCAAAGGCTCTCCAGCCCATACTGCCATTCTTTGTAACTCCCTCTAACAGTGAGACAATCATCATTTTGGGACAGTGGATCTGATCAGAGTTGTTTTAAAAAGCTTTCGCTGGCAGCAGAGTACGCCTATGAAACCAAAGAAAACCAAAAAAACCTTGCAACTTTCTTTCTGACAACATGGAATAAGTGATCAATAACTTACTTTTTCACTTGGAGCTGGAGGTTCAACCTTTCCCAGCCCTTCTAGCACTACATTCATTCTCAACACACAATTAAGAGGCTGGATGTGCCCCTTCTCTGTCCTCTTTATAATGGAGATAATTGTGAAAGTGGCTGGGGCAAGAGTATGACCCCATCCAGCTGCCATTTTAACACTCAGCAGGTACTTTAAAGCAAATAATCCTATAATCAATTCATATTCTTTGGGGAAACAACCAAAGCATCTGTTTATGACTTTAAATACAGTCATGGGAAAATAAGAGTCTGGTAGTAAAGGAACCACTATGGAGAACATGGCCCAGAGTGGACAGCACCTTGGGTCTGAGGGCCTTGCTGGCTGGCACACCAGTGAGACTTGTGCCATTCCAGCTAATCCACATTGGGACCTCGCAGTATGACCAGGCAGCATCTTCTGTGCACATCTGTGAAGTCCCCACCAAGGGTCTGTCATGTTCAAAAGATGAAAGTCATTTCATTCATATGGGGCACACCCAGCCAGTGACTCATCCTTACAAATGAGGGGAATCACACTCAAATGCTGGCAATGTCAGGTGAGACAGAGCTACCATAGAATAGTTGCCACCAGTGCTCTGGGCCAGCATTCATCACCTAAAGTATATGCACTAAATTCTGTTTTGCTCACCTCCATGCCTGGTGCACTGTAGGCAGAAAATAAATACTGGTTAAATAAAAAAATTAAAGACAGGCATATCAGTAATGTATTTAGTTCTGTTTTGTTTTATTTTGGCATTAAACCAGTCTTCTTTAGCTTTCTACCAAACTCAATATCCTGTAACTTTTTTTCTTAAATATCTTAAAACAACAGATTAAGAAACAGTGAGTGTAAGTTTTTACCAAATGGTTGAGGGAGTTATTGCCCAAGCAAGCACAAGTCACTGGGTTCCATCCTAGCACAGTTTAAAAAAAAAAAAAAGGAAAGGAAAAACAAAATGTGAAGAACTGAATTAATCCAAATTGTATGAGGCCATTTTGTATTGGAGCAAAGTATGCATTTCAAAACCCTATGAAACTACTATTTAAATAGTCTTGAACAGTTACTGTGGCCTTTCTATGTGCTAAATTTTGTGCCAAGTGCTCTACCTCAATTAATTAAATTCTTACAGAAATCCTAGACAAGTACTATTATCAGTCACACTTTGGAGAAGAGGAACTGGAAGCAGCCATCTGAGCTTACACAGCAGTTCAGTGGCAAGGCTGATGTCACCCAGGCGATCTGCCTCCTGAACTTGTTCTCCACCACTCTGAGGGCAGTCCAGTGCAGCCCCTAACATCACAATACACTGACATCTCAAGAAAAACAGTTTAATGTCTGCAATATTGTATAAGAAAGCAGGAATGTGTAATAATATACATTCATAATGAATTATTGCGATCTCAGTGTTGCTACAGAAAGCTTGTCCCTTGATGAAGAGAGACTCAAGTGTTAGGCACCCTCTTGATGTATAATTCCCTGGCCCTCTGAATGAATACCACAGATCTGTTTCTCACAACCTTATCAACACTTCTCCCTGGTAAACCTTTCATCTCTTCCATAACAACTCAGTTCAGCAATGGCTCAAACCATCAGCTATAAGGGCACAGAGCTTAAATGTGTATTCTGGTTTGCAGGTCCCACAACTCATCCTAGAGATAGCAGGGCTGAAGACATTCATACCACACACAAAAGTAAAATGATATCTTGTCTCCTATTTTTAATAACAAACCTGTTAGCATCAACCATGCCCTCCAAGCTGTCCAGGGGGTCTTGCTAAATGCCACATCCTGAAGCCACAGCAGAGGCTGACTACCTTGAGGATGCTAACCACCCACCTTACCTTCCCTTTCAGTGTCTGCAACGCATCCAGGTAGGCAGCCAGCATGGGCAGACTCAAGGTCTCCACAAGAGTGGTATGCAGCCACTGGATCAGCTTGGTGTCCCAGCTCACACTTGCCAGAGCTTGCCGCACCCTCCTCGCACACTTGTCCACGGCAACACGGCGCAGCACAGGCTCATTACAAGCCTGAAAGATGTAAGCAGGAGGAAAAAACAAAAGTTCCACTGGGTTAGCAAGTGGGGGGTTACAAATCAGTCAGCCAGTGAGGCCTGAACGAGGAAGAGCCCACTGTGGGCAGGTTTCTGGTGTCTTACCCCTTCGTTGGCCAAGCGGGCAAGCCGGTCAGACTGCAGGGCTTTGAGGATCTTGTTGAATAGCTTGTTCTGGGCCATTGTCCAGCCAGTCCTATAATGGAAATTCTGAGGAATTAAAGTTAAACCCTGAGGAAGTTCCTTATGCATGTACACCATATAAAGAAGAATCTGCCACGATTTCTGCTCTGTTCCCATTATGAAAGAGAGTAACTTGAGGTAGCTTAGTCAAAAGTCATTCAGATAAACACAAGACCTTGATTCTGGTCCCAATCCTGCCAGTGAATCACCTCAGCACACCTTTGTATTAATCATATACACTACAAGATAAGATCAGTCTTGTCTTGTCCTGAAAGAAGTCTTTTAGTGCCAGCAAAGCTAATCATTTATCTAGGAGCTAAAATAATCACATTAGTAAACAAAGACATGGCACCACTGCATAGACATGTTTGAATTTCTTTTAATTTTTTTGAGACAGGGTCTTGCTATATAAGCCAGGCCAGCCTTGAACTTGTCATCCTCCTGCCTCAGCCTCTCAAACTCTGGAATTAAAGATAAGCAACTCCATGCCCAGCTTGAATTTCTTAAGTTTTATATTCCATACAAGAGCAGATAAGGATTGGCAAGCATCTTTTTTTTTCTTTTCTTTTTTCTTTTCAGTACCAGGATTGAACCCTGGTATTTCAACATGCTAAGCAAGCACTCTGCCACTTGAGCTATGTCCCCAGCCCTTTTGTTTTTATTTTGTTTTTGCCATAAGGTCTCACTAACTTTGCTCAGGCTGGCCTCCAACTTGTGATCCTCCAACCTCTGCCTTCTGAGTGCTGGGATTACAGAGGTGTATCACCACACCTGGCTTATCCTACTGTTCTTAACCCAACACGGTATGGATCTTATTAAAATCCCCCTTCACTCCACTACCAGAAATCTTAATAACTCTGATAATCTAACTCTGACTAGTAATCCTTCTAAAGATACAAAAAGAAAGGCGATAGGAGACACTCAATGTTTGCCAACCTTCCCTGCCATAAAAAAATCTGGTAGTAAAATTTTAAAATATAAGCAGGTTCTAGGCCCAAATGAGTTAGGTCAAGGAAACAGACTAAATTGGGACAACCACTAGTCAATTGGAAAAAGAAAACCTCTACACATCACTTTTTACACCAAAATAAATTTCAGATGGGATAAAAAGCTAAATATTAAAAAATAAAACTATCAACGTTCTAGGAAGAGAAAATAGTGACCTCTATCAATCTATCTACCTAACTAGCTATCTATCTTAAAACCTAGAAAACATAAAAGAAGTGAAAAAAATAACTACATAAAAATTTCAAACCGCTGCAAAAGGAAGGAAGTATCACAAGTGAAGTCAAACACAGTAGGAAAATAACTGCTATTGTATTAAAATACATTGAAATACTCAATAGACAAAGAACATACAAAGGCAGGTCACAGAAGGCTGAAGCAAGAGGATTTCAAATTTGAAGCAGCCTGCACTACTTAGGGATAACTTGTCTCAAAAAAAAAAAAAGAAAAAAGAAAAAGGTCATAAAAAAGCACAATAAACTCCATTTCAAAATTAGATAAACATAAATTAAAATATTTTTAATAGGTAAAAATTAAGTTTAATAATACTGTGTTATAAGAGTGTAAGAAAACAGATCCTTCCATATATATGTGGGACTGGTGATGGAACTCAAGGTCTCCTGCATGCTAGGCAAGAGCTCTACCACTTGAGTTATGCTCCCAGTCCAGATCCTTCCATGTTCTGTTGATAGAAATAAAAATTAGTGCCTTTTGGAATGCTTACTGGGAAAATTAATTTTGAAAGATCAATCAACCTAAGTCAGATTATGTAATTTAGTCAGATCAAAGTCCTTCAGTGACCCCATTTCTTTTTTTTTCCCTTTTTCTTTTTGGTGGTATGGGGAATGAGCTCAGGGCCTTGTGCTTACTATGCAAGTGCTCTTCCATGTGCCAGTCCTAGCCTAGGCAAACACACTCATATTGTAAGAGTGTCTGCTTTTCAAGCATGAAGCCCCAACTTCAAACCCCAGTTCCACAGGAAAACACACACACACATACACACACACACCAGTCCTTTCGATTTTTCAATTTTTCTTTTTTTTCCAGATATGGTATCATGCTTTTGCCCAGGCTGGCCTCAGACCACAATCCTCCTACTCACTTCTACCTCCCAATGCACAGCCAGTAGCACCATTTCAATCAGTTAAAAGCTAAAGTTTTTGCAGTGGGCTAGGTGAGCCCTGATGCCTCTCCAACCTCATCATCCATGAATGCCCCTCACCTACTTTACTTCAATCACATTGCACTCCCTCCCCACAATTCTCCCATCATAGCCTTCCATCCTCAACTCTCATACATATCAGACATAGTTCTCAATCAGACTGGGCCCTTCCCATTCATTCCCTGAACTGAAACACAAGCTCCTTCTCTCATCTCCTTCAGATTACTATTCAAATATCACCTGCTACTGATCCTTCTTTCCCTGATCCCTCATTATTTAAAACAGCAACAGGCCAATCCCATGCTGGGATTCTCTAGTCTCATTTTCCAGCTATATCCTCACCTCACAATCTATCCATTCTATTTGTTTAGTTTGTCTCCCTTTGCTAGAATGTAAAAGCTAAGACAGCTGGGACTTTTGTCAGTTTTAAGTGCTATATCCCTAACACAAAAAACTGGGGAGTTAAACACCTGCTGAATAAAAGGATGAATTGTGTACACACTATATTCTAAGTTGTGTAAACACTCCTGGCCCTACTAAGTACATGGGTACTGAACAGCAGAGAGGAACACAGAAACATGATTTGTGCTCAACTGTCAATCTAGCCCTTTACCATATCAAGGTGGCCAAACTGCAGGAAAGCTGCTTAAAACAGTATGAACAATCTCAGTTTCTCTTACTTCATAGCAGACTAGCATCCTTTCTATCACACTCTACCCCATTCTATAAGCTACCTAATTTCTACAGGCCATGGCTCTAGGAGCACCAGAGTCATGGCCAAATGAGTATGCAGTTAGAGGACAAATTACCCTTTGTAATTCCTTCTGCATAACTACTCCAGTGTCCCTAGAGTAAACAAATATCTAGCAGATATTTGCTAATAATGGTCCAACTCCTTTCCCCTCTGTAAAATAAAATCTCCATGTACCACATCTCTAGCTTTATAATTTACAAGTTTCACAGTTCAGGAGAACACTAATTAGGAGTCAGAACTTTACACAGCTCTACAATAGAAAACTGGGTGTGTGCCCTGGCTCTCTTTGCCTATAAAATAAACATGGACTACATGATTCCTACATTCCTTGAAATTTCAGGTTAACTATGACCACTGATAATGAAAGCAGCTGAAATTCATGACTACAGAAATAGAACCAGGCGACTCTTCTTCAGCAGTGCCTTCTATTCCTCTTCAAAGCTTTTCCTGCTTCACCTAAATCTCTATGGAACTGCCAAAGCTGCTTAGAATTTTTTTTGGAGGAGTGGGGGGTGGAACTGGGGTTTGAACTCAGGCCTTTCCACCTACAAAGCAGGTGCTCTACCACTTGAGCCACTCCTCCAGCCCTTTTTGGTCTGGTTATTCCAGAGATAGGGTCTTACTTTTGGCCTGGGATTGGCCTGGACCACTATCCTATTTATTATGCTTCCCACTGCTGGTGGGATTATGAGCATGTGCCAAAACGCCCAACTTTTTTTCCCATTGAGATGGGGTCTCACAAACTTGTTTTGCCCGGGCTGACTTGGAACTGCAAGCTTCCTGATCCCAGCCTACTGCATAGCTTGGGATAACAGAGGCAGACCACCATACCCACCTATTGGTTGAGATGGGGTCTTGCTAACTTTCTGCTCAGGCTGGTCTCAAACAGTGATCCTGGTCTTAGCCTCCCAAATAGCCAGGAATTCAGGTGTGAACCCCAAGCACTTGACTTCCTTCAGATTACTGAAATGCACAGCATGCTGACATAAGTAGCATCTCTCATATACAATGATTCTCGGTAGGCTTGAGGACTGAGTGGAGATGGGAAGATACAGAGAATACCAGCAGTGCAGAAAAAGCCCTCAGAACACACAAGATGTATCTCCATATTAATACACCTCTTTGTTTTTAATAGCTGGTCACATTCTATCCTATTTGTGCACATTTAGGTTGAGTCTTTTTAATTGCTATTTATTATTTTAGTTGTAGTAAAAACTACAACTTCCTTCTCCCCCCATTCACATACACACACATCTAGCTACCTTTATATGCTCATGTAAGTACTTCTGTAGAATAAATTGCTTGAAATAGAACTGAAAGAGTAAAGACTATCTGTGTTGAAATCTCAAAATTTCTGTTTCTGCAGCATCATGAAAATGTACTTACTGTAGCCCTTACCTCCAGTAATAACACTTATTTATAATCAATCAGGTTAAGCAATGCATTTCTTCACATTCAACAATCTATGGAACTTTCTCAAAGTCTATCAATCACAATGCAAACTTTAACTTCAAGAATAGAGAATGAGTCATATTGATTTATGAAGCACCAAGAGCATTTCCAAAATTATCCTGCTCTTTATTATACAACAGGATGTTTTCACTACTTATTTTGCTTGTTCTATATTCATTCGGAAACCCAATGATGAGAGCAAGGGAAATGATGTGAACAAAAGGGGACGAGAGCTAAAAGCTACTTACTACCACACACCAATGACAGCTGAAATTAAATTTAAAAAAACCACAATATTGAGAGTCTAAAATCCTAGAAAAGGCTTTAGGATTATTGCTGGATACATAACAAAGTGATTCCAAGAATTGATACATGTTCTCTATATTTTGTCAGCTTCGTGGGAGGCTGGAAAATTAAGTGGGCAGAAAAAGTGATCTAACCCAAGATTAAGATAAAGAGCATGCAAAAGATGTAATTAAGGAAAAATTTAAGAACAGGAGACAGAATTTTAAATACAAGTTTAAACAGTCAAATAGTTGATGGGAACTGTGGTGAGTCAACTCATTCCCCCTTCCCCCAACTTAAGCCTATTCAATTTTCCTGAGTGCAAAAATGCCTTTTCTTTGAAGAGATCAGATAA